AGCCCAGTCCAGGCAAACAGAAAAGCAAAAGCAAAATCCCTGAGGTCGAAAGGAGCTTCAAGTGTGCAAGAGACAGAAAGAAGATGGTAGATAACAGGAAGAGAGGAAGATAAGCAGGGGCCAGATTATATAAACCTTGCAGGGGCTGGTGAGGAATCTGGGTTTTAATCTAATTGCAATGGAAAGCCATTTAGAGGGTTTCAGGCTGCAGATATGATCTGATTAGCATTTTTTTAAAAAACTGCCTTAGCTGCTATGCAGAAAGAGGACTCTATAAAGGCAAGAATGGAAATGCAATCCCAGTTTTCCCCAGCAATGCTCTAACCAAGTGGTAATGTTGGCATCAACTAGGTGTTACTGGCGAAAATGTTCACAAGTGGTCTGATGTGGGGTACAATTTTCACATAGTGCCAGTTTGCTGATGGATTAGACGTGAAGGAGGGGGAAAATAAAGGAACCAAGGATTCTGCCTAGTGTTTTGATCTGAGTCACTGGGTACATGATGGTGCCGTTAACTAAGAGAAGATGAACAGAGGCAGGTTTGGCAGTGATAGTAGAAACTCAAGGACTCTATGATCATATCTACCTATCGCTCGAGATGCCTATCAGGCATCAAAGAAGAGCTGGCAGTAGGCAGGTGGCTGCCACATGACGATGGAGCTCAACCTGGGAAATGTATATTTGAGCTTCATTGGCATCAAGACACAATGAGGACAGCACTTCAGATCTATAGGGAAAATAGAGAGTGTTTGATAAGTGGTGTTGGGACAACTGACTTCGCATTTGGGGAAAAAAGAAACAGCTGAATTCTAAATTCAAGCTCGGAGCAAAATAATTTCCACCTGGGTCAAATTTTTTTTTTTTAAATATTGGTGCATGTACATAGAAAATAGCCCCTCTGCACGCTTGTTGGGAGTGTAAATTTGTGCAACCTTTCTAAGGGACAATGTGGCAGTGTCTGTCAAACTTACAATGCAAATTTACAACGTATGGTTACTTTGTTCCAGTAATCCTACTATCTGTATTCATTTATCCAATGGATACATGTTGAAGAAATTGTATGTTCAAGGATGTCCACTGCAGACTCACTGCAGTAAAAAATTAAAAACAAGCAATGTATGTCAACAGAGGACTGCTTAAATAAATGATCCTATGTCCATACAATGGACTGCTTTGCAGATGACACAAAAGGTGAAGGAAACTTTTATGTGCTGATATCAAAAATATCTGCAAGACACGTGGAGTGAAAAACAGCCAAGTACAGAACCTCTTGTGTTTTATTTTTCTTCTGGGTAAATATGTGTATATCCATGTACACAGGCTTTCAGGTTCATTTTTTTAAATCATTCTGCACTGTTTGAATTTTGTAAGCATGTACATATTTTCCATTAATTAAATACTAAAAGAAATTATCTGAACAGTAAAGTTATCAGTCACTTTTTTGTTTTCTTTATACTTCCTTGTCTATTTCTTAAAAAACCAACCTAACAAGTGTTATTAGAAAAAAAAAATCTTCAAAGACTATGGTTTCCATGTTCTACCCTCTAAGACTGTAGACAAATCACTTTAAATCGGCATGAAAATCTTATGACCCTCTTTTCTAATTCTTTTTTTTTTCCTTCTGGCATTCTGATCTGAGATTTTGTACCTTCAGGCTCTGTTGGAAGCAGCCTGTACCCAAAGCAAAACTGTAAAAGTTGCAGGAGCTACAGAGCTGCCAAAGAGGGTGTTTAATGAGCAAACTCAAGGGTCAATGCAAATTGCTCGCAAACACCAGATGGTAGGGGTCAGGCAGGAGATCACCTCAGAGAGAAAGTCTGAGCACTGGTCAAGTCCAAAGAAAGAGAAAGGCCTCCCATCTGACTTGGAGGGAGGGAGAGTATCACTGGGTTCCCGCAGCTGGTGTGCACACTCGTGCACCAGCAGAAGGGGTCTTTCTACTTCAGATGGGAAGCCGCGAGAAAAGCAGGAGTGAAGGATGCAAAGGAGTAAGGCAGCTTGTGGTGAAAATGCAAATGTCTCAGCCTTTGTGAAATCCACCTGTGGGGCTTCGGAGGCTTAGCTGCTCTGAAATCCCAAAATGTCTGAACCATGTACATATGTTGTACACAGACAGATAGACAGACAGACAGACACACACACACACACACACACACACACACACATGCATGCACACACGGCCTAATGATTGAAAATGTGCTAGTTCTATTTAACCAGGGAAGAGAAAAAAACAGAATTTAATTAAGCGATTATTAAGAATTTTAAGTGGAGAACGACGTTACCCAATTAGCCCTTATTTTTATATTTCTCAACCTTTAAAATTACACATCTTATTTAAGTACAAAGTTGAGTAGTAGTTAGTGGCTTATTTGTGGTAATAAAGCCTTGTTTTGAATAGGAATTCCACCTTCTCCCAGTCGAGCACCTTTATGGGAAGCCAGGCTTCAGGAAACCCAAAGCTGTCACTAAGGCACCGAGACCCTCCCAGGGGCAGTCTGCCCAGGCTGTGGACACAGTCCTTTGGCAGAAATAAACTTATTAGCATTGGCCTTGCATACTGCAATTTAAAAGTGACCACAGACATGAGAGCATCCCATTTGAATGCTGACCCCCTCTCACTGCCAAGTCTAATTGACACCCACCCCTCTGACTGAGCTTGTCTAGTAGCACTGGCCCTCCTCCTCCGTCCTGTAGGAAGTGCTGAACGGCTGTGTCAGCCCATCAGTTCTACCCCTCTCTCTCACCTCCTCTGGTTTAACCAGTTCCAGTTCCTTCAGACTTTCCTGTGGGGTCTAATTTTCCAATCATATAATTATCTCTATGGGTTTTAGGGAGAAGAAAGAATGTGGTGTTCAAAAAAAAAAAAAATTATACCCTTCCTTTGGTCCTATACTCTGCATTTTCTGCCCTGGTAAAGGAATCTAAACTATGCTACTACAATACATTTAGTCGGAGTCAGCACCTCTCCAGCATCTTTTCGTTTAAATTTGCTAGTGCCTTCTTGGGAGAAACTGTAGCTTGGGGGAGCTGGGGTTTTTAAACGGAGTTTCTATAGTCACCAAAAGCATCACACACCCTGACAGCAACAGAAAAGAGTCACAAGAAGGGCACAGGGCTGTGATGTGACTAGTTACTGAATGGGCATGAGATAAGGTGCCCCGGGCTGAGGTTACAGGAAGACGGGTGTCTAAATGCCAAATAACTCAAGCTGGTCCACACTGTCCTGAGGCCAGGAAACAAGGATTCGGGTTTAAGGAAATCAAAATGATCAAGAAAAGAAAACTGAAGAAAACATACCCTCTGTGATTCAAACAGTTGCTAAAATCAACTTACCAATATCTTTTTTAAATATCGAATGAAACATAGTTTAAGGTAAAGTTTTTATAATAAGGACTAACTTTGGAAAAGAGCTTTATAGCTTTGAAATTTTTCCACATAGCCTTTTGTGATCCAATAAGGTAGGAAAGGCAAGTGTTGACAGGCAGGTAGATAGATACACATATATAATATATGTATATTATATATGCATTTTATATCACACATATATTATATATGTATATAGAATCTATATAGGAGGAACATGAAGCCCAGAGAATTTTAGTTTCTTGAGGCCACAAAACTTACACAAGCATGGCTCGTTTTATCGTCCTCCTCCCTAGTGCACTTCACAGATGTTGCATTTTTACCAACTGAAGGCAAGGCCCTCCACTAGCAAAAAGATTATGACTCGCTTTATTGCAGTGTCCTGGAATCGAACCCAAAATATCTCCGAGGTATGCCTGTAAATAGCAGTCCCTGGATTCAAACCCAAGCTGGACAATAAGTCCTGTGAAAAATCTGTGGTAGCTATGCTATCAAATGAGTCAACACCATCGGCTGTTCACAACCCGAGATGACAGATGACAGTCAAGTTTTAGCTGTTATCAGAGAGGAAAAATGTACTTACTCCCTGTAAGTTTTGCTTTTTTTAATGCCCTCAGCTAAGATACTCTGATATTAATCAGAGATGTTCCTAAATGCACTGTGGTATCCTGGATCGCATCCTGGCACAAAGAACGTTAGGGAAATCTGAATAAAATGTGGAGTTTAGTTCATAGAAATGTGCCCTCCCTGTTGGTTTCAATTCTGAGAAATGCACCATGGTTATGGAAGATGTTAATAGCAGGGTGAAGGAAGGAACTCTTAACTCTCTTGGCAGTTTTTATGTTCATCTAAAATTACTCCAGAATTAAAAGTTCATTAAAGATAAATAGATGTAAGTATCGCTCAACCGACAGTCTTAACCCTTTGATGTTTCTCATAGGTTAAAGGAAGGAAACGAGTAATTTTCCACACAAGCGGTGACTCCATATTCAGAAGCACTTAGTGAGAATCTGGCAATGGTGTCCATTCATGGAAAAGGCAGAACAGTTTAGGTGTGTGGTACTAATTATTCTGCAGGTTTTGACCTTGAGGGCAAGAAAACTGGGGGAATCCTGGGTAGGAGTTTAGAGTTGGCCAATCCCCCAAATAGACATTAACTACGATCTAAGAAACCAAGGTCTGCGAGAGAAGCACAGGCTAGACCAGTTGCTATGGCGAATCTCGCCAAACTGCAGGAGACAAGCTGCCAGACTGGGCACAGGCTTCCTGCACCTAAGACAGGAGGTATTTACAAACCCAGCAGGGCCTGGCGCCTGGTCAGGGGTTTCAAGGACAAGCTGGCAGGCAGCATGTGTTTCCAGAGAGCAGCGGAGAAATGAAGCTCGCGTGTCCAGATGAGAAGCGTGGTAAGCCCAGGCTGCCCGGCCACCGGCTTGCTCCTGGCTGCCCATATGTGTTCACCACCAGGGTCGAAAAGCCACAGAAACGGGACAACGTGCAGATCGATTCCAGGCAGCACAGGAAGACTAATCTTCCTGAGGCTGACACGTATGAGGAATATTTTTAAAAATAGGTTTTCAAAGTGCAAAGTTCCTCCCAATCCTCAGGAGGGTGAATCCACAGACATCTCACTCTACCTTCTGTTAGCAGTTGGCCTGGGAGATTTTATCTGGACTCTGCACTGTTCTGATTTCCTCTCTGATTACATGGATGGGTGGAAGCCTCTCGGTTGCATCATCTGCAAAGCAAAGGTTTGCAATATGTAATAACAGTAGTAATAATAATAATAATCATGATAATAATACATATTATATGTAATATGTAATAATATAGATTTCCAGTGTTTGCTCTACTCTTTCCATCTGACAAGAGTCTTGGCTGCAAAGGGAAGCTGGAGTCGCCATCAGACTTGTCCCCTAGGATCCAGGCACATTCTCGTGACAGGAGGCCAGCAGAGGGTCTTTTCCTCTCCAGGCCCACCTTCCATTCAGCTTTTCTGAGACATATATTCCAACTGTGAATGAATGAATGGGCAAATGGGGGCCTGACAAGTCTTCTCAATCATTTCATGAATGCAAAACACATCATAAATAGAAAATAATGCCATGTCAGCTATCTAAGCAAAATGCTGTGGAAGATGCATTTAAAACCTTTAGAGCTGAACATTTGGGAGTGATGTTCTTTCAGGGTTTGATAAAATCTTGCAGACTGTACATTTATATAAGTTTAGGCATTCCACAGAGTCCTTGAAGGTGAGTTTAACAGTCCTTGGTTGATAGTGTCTCAGTACCATAGGCTCTAAGGGACTTAATAAAAAGCGGAAACTTCAAAAATCTGATATTCCTTTCTGAGAGAAGTAGATTAAAAATAAATAAATAGACATAAGTACACGGCTTTCCAAATTCACATCCCATTAGGCGGAGGTCAAAAATCCCTGTTTCCTCATCCGTATAAAAAGGTGCTTCTTCATGAGGATGCTAGAAAGAGTAAATGAAATGGGCTAATACTTATAAAGCACGGAAACAGCACCTGGCACATAGTAAGCACTACCTAAGTGCTTGTTACAAAAAAATGTACAACTCAGTGCAACACAAGACACTTACTACACAATACAATGACAAGTATCTTATCAGGTCACAACACCCCACAAGACACCTGTGACGAATCTCAGTGTCCTTCTCAGACATACATCTCTCCAGACGAAAGAGCCACTGCCCCAACCACTTTTTAAAATCCTGTTTTCAAGAGGGAAACTTTTGAAAGCATAAGCTACTGGAAGTGTCTTGAAGCATAAGCTGCTTTACAAAAGTATAAAAATATTTTGCTTTCCACAAGAAAACTTGGAATCTGTGCCAATCCAGCATGAATCTTTTGGTCAAGTGCAAGGAATAAGAAGCACCTGTAAAGTTATTTTAACAGAGAGATGATCCTCTGATAAGTGTGTCTCCCATACAAGACAAGAGGGGCCTTCTCCTTGGTTCGTTCAATGAAAGGCGGCTTTGTAACCAGAGGCCACCATTTTGCCCACCTCTCTTTCCCTCAAATAGTCTGGCAGGGTAAAATATTTTTGGCATCACCAAGTGTCTAAAAAAAGAAGCGTTACCTAATGAGACAGGACCCTAGTTCATTCTCCCTTTGACATAATCTAAAAACAAAAATAAGAAACACAATTTAAGACACCCAGACTTCAGGGGGTACTGTGATGCAGGACTGCAGCCTCCACGTGGAGGAGCGCCATCAGCACAGCCCTCAGCTGCCTGCTCTCTCAGGGAATCACCTCTGCAGCTGCTTCCAAAGTGGGACACAGAGGCCCAGCTCCCTGAGCACGACTCAGAGCAACTCTTGAGGGCCATCCTAGTCCAGGGCTCCTGGGGATTGTCTGAGTCCTTGGCTGAGGCTACATTGCAGTCCAGCACCACTTCCCACCCTTCCCTCATGGGCTCTGATCATGAGATATGCCCCAGGAGCTACCTCCATGGTATTACCACTCAGAGTTGGCTTCATAGGGAATCCAACCTGCAACATGCATGGGCTCTGGGGCAATGCCTGCTGACCACCTTTCCCATGTGTTTGGGTTTGTAGAAAGAGCATTATTGAGCTATAACTGACATATAATAAACCTCACATATTTAAAGCACACAGTTGGGTAACTTTTAACATATGTATATATTCATGAAATCACCATCACAATTAAGAGGGTTCTCACAGAGATGGCGGGTCTTACACAGATGGTGGTGCAACACAGAACAGTGACGTGGTGCTTTCTTGGGCTTCAGGCTCTCAAAGTTCCAAGTGTGAATCCTCCATGCCTTTCGGCTCTGACAGAAAATAGTCTTACTTGACCTCTCTCAGCCCTCTTTGCCTCGAGGCAACAACAGCACCAACCTCAGAGGGCTGCCTGTTGCATTGATTGAATGAAATATTGGAAATGAAGCTCACAGTACTGTGCCCTCAACAAATTGTAGCCATTCATGTTTTATGATTACGACTTCCAAATGTTTCCTCTGTCTCCAGAGTCCTTCCCTCTCCAACCTCCGCATTTCCCTAAACGGTCCCATCGTCACTCTCTAAGTCACCCGATTCAGAGGCATCCAGTCAGCCACAAGGTTCTGTCTCGTCCTCCTTATTCCGGTCCCCCCTCCTATGGCCACCACCCTAGTCCAGATCGCTATGATCTCCCACCTTCAGTTTTAGAATTGCCCAACTCAGTGGCTTCTAGACATCTGGATTTCATAGGACAATACATATTTTACAAATTATTTTTGGAACTAAAGTATTTCTAACTGTTTTTGCCAATAAAGATGCTAAATAAATACATATTATTGAGAAACACCACAATATTTTTTTAAACTCTATTGGGGAGCTGTGTGTTTTTTCCAGGACCCATCAGCTCCAAGTCAAGTTGTTTTCAATCTAGTTGTGGAGAGCACAGCTGAGCTCCAAGACAAGTCATTGTCTTCAGTCTAGTTGTAGAGGACGTTGCTTCACTGGCCCATGTTGGTATTATCATTGCGCTCTTCCCGGATGAGGTAGTCGCTCCACAGCCATTGGACGGCCACTCACGGCGGCTCACGAAAGCTCACACCCGCTGCCAGCCAGCCCCACTACAGCCTCATGTGGGATTCGAACCGGGGCCCTGCTGCTCAGAGTTGGCGTCCCAAGCCAACTCCTAACCAACGCACCACTCGGCCGGCCCTCTCATCTCTTTCTTTATAAGGGCACCAATCCCATCTTGAGGGCTCCACCTCCATTACCTAATTACCTTCCAAAGGCCCCATCTCCAAATACTGTCACATTAAGGGTGAGGCTTTCAACATATGATGGGGGGGGGCATAAACATTCAGTCATAGCGCTGACTAATCTCCCTCCCCTCTAATCCACACAAATCTTTCTATAACTCACCTTGTGCACACACCCTTCCTGCTGCAAATCCAAGGGTCACATCCTGTTGTTCTGGGTAGGTCTCATCTAACATAACATCCCACACCCAGCCAGAGAGAGTCACCAATGTAGCAGTTTGCATTTTAGAGCTCAGAATGCATTCTCCCATAGAAACATGCAATGGGGAGACCCCCACCTTCACCCCAACACAGTCTGTACTGAAGGGGGAGCACAGTCCTGTTCTCATAGCCCTACAGAACCAGCGGCCACAGGTAGGAGAGCTGTTGTGGAAAAGAGCTGGCGTTCCCACCTGAGATGTCCCAGTGGGCACCCTGGCCACCCCGATTTAGAGACCAGGACGGCAGCCCCCGCTGCTCTGCTCCTTGGCCCACACTGGGATGCCTTCTTTGGGTGACTTTCCCTGTACAGCATCCATTCTTCTCTTCCCACAGTATCTCAGACCTTTTCACTAAAGCCTGGAGAAAAGGTCTCCCAAGAAGTTTTGCTGTTAGTACAATAGGAAACAGACAATTGCTAAAAATAACAATGGGCAAGGTGACCGGCATTTCTAAAAGTCTACAATGGAGTTCATTACCAGAAGAATTCCTGGATTCAGTGGCACGTAAAGGGAATGGCTCCCCCCAACCGCCCAGCCACATCTGCCTTAGGCCTTCCTGCCCCGTAACTGAGGACTCTTCTTTGGCTCTGAGAACCATCCCCTACACCCTAGTCCCCAGAGACTACCTCCTGTAAACCTCCTAGAAGTTCAGGTTGGCACGCATGGTCTTCTTACCTTTCATAGGGCAGACTCCCTCCTCCTCTTTTCTCCTTTTAAAACTCAAAAAAAATAAAAGACTCAAAAGTGCCAAGTGGGCTCTTTGGGGACTGAGAAGGTCCTAGCAAGATCCGTGTATCACTCAGATCTGCTGTCACTCACAGAGGAAGGCTAACACCTCCCTGGACAAGCAGTACAGAGGTCCCAGTTCTGGTGGGGGGTGGGGGGAGGGGAAAGCAGCAGCCACAGCTTTAATCAATCTGGGAGAATAGGAGCAAGCTAGAGGGACCATTCAAAAAGTTACCTCAAGGGCATAACTTTGAGCCTTTGGGTTCAGTCAAAGCTCCCCACTCACTGGAGTGTGGACCAGCTACTCAGTGTGGTCGCCTAGCCAGTAGTATCAGCATTACCCAGAAGCCCAACAGACATACAGACTCCCCAGCTCCTCCGTAGACCTGCGGAATTAGAATCTGCATTCTAGCAAGATCCCCCATTGACTCATATGTGCATTAAAGTCTGAGAAGCAATGTTCTAAAACATCTAGGTCAGTGGATCTCAAGCTGGGGTGATTTGCCTCCCAGGAGTCACTTCGCAATGTTTGAAGACATTTCTGGTTTGTCACTACTGGGAGGTGCTACTGGCATCTAGTGGGCAGAGAACCAAGAATGCTGCTTAACATCCTACAATGCACAGGGCAATGCCCACAAACAACAAAGAATTATCCAGCCCCAAATGTCAATAGTGCCGAGGCTAAAAAACACTGATCTTGGTGAAAACATCCAGGAGACAGTTGGATGAAAGGTCCTAGAATCTAGTTACTCCAAGTATGGCCAGGCAGCATCCGCAGAGGATGAGGTCTCTGACCTGACCCCACCACTTCAGAATCAGACCCTCTGGAGGTGGAGCCTAGGAATCTGTGTTTCAACAAGGTCTCCAACAGAGCTGCATATATGCTGTTTGCTTCTTGAATTTTGCATTGAGAAGCATTAGTGTAGGCCACGGGTGTCTGCCCTCTGTGTGTCTGTCAGGAAACATAGGCTCAGCCAGGTCGGCCACTCCTCTAAGATTTCACACCAGTAACA